CTCTAATGACGAAATCCATCCTTTCCAGCATTGTGCCCCTAAATTCCTAACAGGTTCCTCTGACTTTTTCTTTTCTTTTTTTTGAGACAAAGTCTCACTTTTTCACTCTTGCTAGAGTGCTGTGGCATCACAGCTCACAGCAACCTCAAACTCCTGGGCTTAAGCAAGTCTCTTGCCTCAGCCTTCCAAGTAGTTGGGACTATAGGCACCCGCCACAATGCTTGGCTATTTTTATTTTTATTTTTTTATTTATTTTGAGATAGAGTCTCATTTTATTGCCCTCGGTAGAGTGCTGTGGCGTCATAGATTACAGCAAGCTCCAACTTCTGGGCTTAGGCCATTCTCTTGCCTCAGCTTCCTGAGTAGCTGGGACTACAGGTGCCCACCACAACACCTGGCTATTTTTTGTGGCAGTTTGGCCGGGCCAGGTTTGAATCCGCCACCCCTTGGTATATGGGGCTGGTGCCCTACCCACTGAGCTACAGGTGTCACCCAGGTTCCTCTGACTTATCTCCCAACTTTTGTCATCTGTGTCACACACAGTGAAAATCCCTCCCTCCTACTGTCTGACTCATTCTCCCATTCCCAGTTCATTTCCATCTTGCTTGTCCTGAGGCATTTTGCCTGTGTGTTCCTCTACTAACCCTTTTGGTTTTGCTGCATGGAATCTCCACTCATTGGGAATAATGTCTGCTACGTGAATAAAATAATATGGCAGGAGACAGCCTGCAAAAATAGCTGGCAAAGTTTTTTTTGTTATTATCCTTTGAATTTTCTTAGTGCTATGTTTTACTTTCCAGACTTAACTGAAACCTGGGCATTCTTTGCCCTGATGATATTGCTTCCCTCCCAAATTTCTCCATCTTCTTTACAACACAGTTTGGATGTGGTGGTGTGTGTTGTGCGGAAGACTTTCTCTAGTAGGAAAACTGTCTTCTCATTCTCCAGCTCTCAGAAATCAACATGCTTTCTGTTTACTTGTGTTCTTTAGACAGCAGAGGAAAGAGTCCTTAGCAAAGTATTCCAGTGCCTTCATGGTCTGATCCTTGCGTGCTTCCATAGTTTGATCTACTGCCATCTTTTCGCCTTTCCCATTCATAGCCCTGTCTTAACTTAGCCATACTTAACTAGTACTTGCAGTCCCTTAGCAAACCATGTTCTCTGACTTTTGTGCTTTTACACATGTTTTCTCTCTACTTGAATGCCCTACTTATTTTTATCTAGCTAGCAAAGTCCTATTCAATGATACCAGGGTGGGTCTTGAACATCCTCCTGCCAGTTACTAAGGTGGAGCTAAAGTCAAAGATCAGGGACTGACCTACTTTTATCTTCTTTGCCCTCCTTGGGGAGATGAGGCTAGCCTATGTGCTTATGGGGCGTGCTGGTGGGCTGATGCCAGGGTGAGCAGTGAGTCACAGGTTCCCATGTGTTTGTCACAGTCGTTGTATGTATCTGTCACAGTCGTTCTATGTCTGTGCCAGCCCAAACAATTCCTCAGAATGCTTTCTCTGGTTTTTCTTCTAGCCCACTCCCACCTCCAAAGCATTTCAAGTCAGTTATTAAAGACTCTGGGGGCCCTAGATCTAGATCAGTGGTTCTCAACCTTCCTAATGCCACGACCCTTTAATACAGTTCCTCATGTGGTGGTGACCCCCAACCATAAAATTGTTTTTGTTGCTACTTCATAACTGTAATTTTGCTACTGTTATGATTGTAATGTAAATATCTGATATGCAGGATGTATTTTCATTGTTACAAAGGGGTCGCAACCCACAGGTTGAGAACTGCTGGTCTAGATGGTGTTAATAAACTCTTTAAGCTGCCAGATGGACTAGGATGGGAACCAAAGTGCAGGGTCTGGCCTGGGCTAGGCTGGGCAGGTGGGAAGTGCTCTGTTGAGTGTGTGCATGGGTCAAGAAGCTAGGTGTGCTTCCAAATACCCCTTCATAAGTCAAAGTCTTTTTCTCTACCTGCTTGGGGGCCTGGCTACTGCTCTTTGGGCCACATCGGAGGGGGATGTATATGTAGCTGTGAAAGTTTGATGGAGGGGACAATTGTTTCCCATTTTGCTTGTTTTAAAGAGTGGGTCAGGCCTTATTTCTAGTCTTTTACTGAAACCAGCAGTTTATGTTTTTAAAATAGCATGTTAAAAGAAAACCACACATGTATACACTAGTTATTTCTAGCCGAGGGTTTCCAATAATAATAATAACAATAATAATGGTGATCAGAGTTAATAATAATGTATTGTGTATTTTAAAATTACCTAAAGAATATTTAAAGTACTCACCACAAAAAAAAAAAAAATAGTGAAGTAGGTGGTGCCCATGGCTCAGTGAGTAGGGTACCGGCCCCATATACTGAGGGTGGTGAGTTCGAACCCAGACCCGGCCCAACTGCAACAAAAACAACAACAACAAAATAGCCAGGTGTTGTGGTGGGCATCTGTAGTCCCAACTACTTGGGAGGCTGAGGCAAGAGAATCACCTAAACCCAGGAGCTGGAGCTTGCTATGAGCTGTGATGCCACGGCACTCTACTGAGGGTGACAAAGTGAGATTCTGTCTCATAAAAAAAAAAAAAGGGAAGACAAGTTGGGAGTATTGTGTGAGCTTGAGAGTTCTAGACCAGCCTGAGCCAAAGCAACACTCCATGTCTATCAAAAATAGAAAAATTGGCTGGGTGTTGTGGCCAGCTACTTACTATAGTACCAGCTACTTGAGAGGCTGAGGCAAGAGGATCATTTGAGCCCAAGAGTCTGAGGTTGCTTTGAGCTATGATGATGCTATAGCACTCTAGCCTGGGTGAGAGTGAGTCTCTGTCAAAAAAAAATCAAAAGAAAGAAAGAAGGATGGAAGGAAAGGGAAAGGGAAAGGAAGGGAAGGAAAAGAAAGGAGAAAGGAAAAGAAAAAAAAGAAGACAAAGAGATATAGGGGAGGAGGCCAGGTGAGACCAGGTAAGGTGCCACCAGAAGCTGGAAGAGGCCAGGAAAGATTCTCCTCTAGAGCCTTTGAAGAGAGTGTAGTCCTGCTGACATCTTGATTTTAGACTTCTAGCCTTCAAAACCATAAAAGAATAAATGTCTTTTATTTAAAAAAAAAAGGGAAGTGATGGATACATTAATTAGCTGGGCTGATTCTTTCTACATTGTATACAAAGATCAAAATATCAAATTGTACCCCCTAAATATACATAATTATTTGTCAATTAAAAATAAAATAATATGCCATGAAGGCTATGTTAACCAGTTTGGTGAAAATATTTCAAACTGTATAAAACCAGCACACTGTACCCCATGACTGCATTAATGTACACAGTGATTTAATAAAAAAAAAAAAACTTTCCTTATAACAAACACAAATAATAAAGAAAAAAAGCAACTCTAAAAAAAAAAAAAATTCTCAGTCACTTAGAGACTGTAAACACTAGTCCAAGATCCTATGTGTCAGGAAGTATTTTCTATCCCAATTTCCAGGGCTATCAAAGCATATAGAGCCTTTAGTGTCTAATCCAGGCCTCCTCAAACTATGGCCCTCTGGCCACATACGGCCCACCTAGGACATTTATCCAGCCCACCGGGTGTTTTTGCCCTGCTGCCTGTCCTGCTTAGCTGACTCATCCTGGGGCCCACAGTCTGGCCCTCCAACGGTCTGAGGGACAGTGAACTGGTCCCCTGTTTAAAAAGTTTGAGGACCCCAGATCTAATCAGTGAAGGTAAGCAACCCACCCTCAAACCAATCTCTTCTTCTTTCTCATACAGACCCTGTTCTCACAAATGGAGGGAAGAAAGATGTATGTTTCTGTTATCTTTTGCCTTGGCCTGGACCAGCTGAGGCTTTAAGTCTTAGTGTGTTTGTGTAGGAGGATGGGGATGGGAGATTTCTTTCTTTTTTCGTGGCATCATAGCTCCCAGCAACCTCAAACTTTTGGGCTCAAGACATCCTCTTGCCTCAGCTTCCCAAGTAGCTAGGACTACAGGCACCCCCACAATGCCTGGCTGTTTTTCAGAGGCAGGGTATTCCTTGCTTAGGCTAGTCTGGAACTCATGATATCAAGGAATTCACCCCCTTGGCCTCTTAGAGTGCTAGGATTATAGGCATGAGCCGCCTCACATGCCTGGCAGGATGGGGGCTTTCTGACTGCTATTCATTTACCCATTCATTCAATTTATTGATTCCAACATATATTTATTAAGTAACCTACTGTGTGTTGGGCACTCAGTAAAGGGATATAATCTCCATCCTACCAGTGGCTTCCCCCAGGTCTCTCAAAGTGTTTGGAAGCTCATACTCTCTTCTCTTTAACTAGGTGACAATTAAAAGAGTAAGAGCTGGTATGGACAAGAGCAGGAGGATGACTGAGGTAGTCATTTAGGGGAGGCATGGAGGAGCTGGATTTTCTCAAATCATTCAAGGTCCATTTTGTTTCCCCTACTCGTTGAGGCTTTTGCCAAATGTAAGACCTAATAGCGGCTGAAGATGGGACATGGGACTTAGGGGCAACTGGAAGACCACCCTGGGCCCAAGACTGTACCTTGAGTACGAGTGACAATTCTAGAGCACAGTGTTTCAACCCCCAACACAGAAACTGAATCCTGGACTGCCTACCAAGGGGCCCCTGCCAGCTGCTGGCTCTGAACTTGATTTTGGCTCTGGGCTAAGTCGGCATAAGTTGAGGCCCAGGTTCCTCGCTCAGCTCAGCAGCTTGTATTGATCTCCAGGGCTCTTTTGTCTCCTCCTCCCCAGTGGAAGCCTCTCCCCCTCTTCCCTTTTCTCCCTCTGCCTGTCAGGCTCTTCCGCTTTCCTCCTCTGCTTCTAATGAATTAAAATCTCCAAGAGCCACTGCGTCTCTGGTAGTTTTACAAAACTGTCCTTGCTCTTTCTGCTTTTGCCCAATCAAGGGTATCTTTGCCTGAGATCGTAGCGGATGCTGTTAGTCCTGGTGCTATGATTGCATAGCAACACAGAGCAGCTCCGAGAGGGGAGGAGGAGGAGAAGGACAGGGAGGTGGGAGAGACAGAGGGAGAGTGTGCTGTACAGCAGCTGTCGGCATCCCTGTCTCAGGGACTTCTTTGCTGATTCACAGAGGCAGCCCAGCCCCAGCTTCCCAGCTTCCAGCTGCCGCCTGCTTCTCAGACCTGATGGAATCAGAAGGTAGGCCACAGATAAATTATTTCCAAGCCTCACCCTTGTTTGCATGGCTGAGGGGAGATAACTGGGGGGGGGGGGAGGAATGAGGGGAGAGAGAAAGAATGTGTATGTGAGAGAGCCCGCGTGCCTGCCTGCCTGTGTGTGCCTTTGGGGGAAAACTTGCATTAAAAAAATGCCCACAATGAAGTAGCTACCACTTGGATTCATAAAGATAAAAAGATGCCCGGAAATAGAAACTCAAGCTAATTTGGGCACACGTGATCTAAAAATGAATAAGAGGAAGGTTCATGGTTTGTTTCTTTGAGAAGAGAGGAGTATTATTTATTTTAGGTTCTCCATGACATGTTTTTTGTCCAAGGGTAGATTTCCTAGCAGGAGGGAAGGAAAGATGTGTGGAAAGCCCTGGCTAAAAGGGGAGGAGAGAGGAAACGCGGGACCTTGGAGCAGGTTTCCTGAACCAATGAGTATTTGGCCAGCAGACAGGACACAGGAGTTCTTCCCAGAAGTAAACGGGGCTCTGACCCAAGAACCTGAGACTGAAGGGCTCATCTCATCTCTGCATTTACTTCCTGGCTCCCTTGTTTTCCCTATTGCATTCTGCTCCGCTTCCCCTCCCCGTGGTGTTCTCCCCTGGTTTCTTTTTTGCCTCTAGTAATCAGGAGGCAGCTCTCTACTCTTGAGAGGATAGCCTGGAGTAGTTTGAAATAGGGCTTACTTCTCCTGGAGTCCAAAACCGCATCTCTTTCTGCTCTTACCTCCTTTGCCAGCATTAGGCCAAGCACCCCAGTTCAGTAAGTGGGACTGAGACTGTATGGGTAGTTAAGATTTATCTTTCCTCTAGTAAGCAGGTGGAGCCAGGCCTCACGATGTTGGGTCGAAGCAGATGGCAGGGCTGGGGTGGGGTGGCATGGGATAGAGGAGAAGGGGTGTCAGCAGCAGCTGCTGCTGGCTTCCACTGAGAGCATGGTGTGTGCTGTCCAGAAAAGAGCATACTTTTATGTTTTCTTTTGGATTATTCAAAAGAACAAAAGCCCTTAAAAGTCTCTATGCTACTTCATCTTAACTCCTGACTTTTGCAAAGAAATTCTTGTTTCTTTGCAAAAGGTAAAAGCCCTCAGGTAAATCACTTTTTTAAAAGCCACGTGGAAGCCAAAAGCCTCCGGAGATTTGCCCTTTAAGGTTTGGGTGGGGAGAGCATTCCCAGAATCTCTGGGCTTTTTAAGGAAACCTCCTAGGAAAGGTGGTGGTGGAAGTGTTAAGTATCCTCTCCCTGAAAGAAGACTAATCCCTCCTTCCCCTGGGTGGGCAGACCTCTGTCCTGTAGTCTGTCTTCCTGGAAACTATCACTGGGGGATGAAAGCACAGGAAAGAGCTCCTCCTCCTAAAAGACTTGCACTTCTGGGCATTTACCCCTAGCTAAATATCTCTGAGCCCCAGGTCAGATCACCTTTCAACTCTGCCATCATCTAAAAAGCATGGCTTGAAGCAGCAAATTTAGCAAAGGCCCCAGGCCAAATAAGGACATCATATCTGGTATGCAGCCCTCCTAATCTAGATGCTCACAAGTTTCTGATGTTGGATCTGCCACAGTGCCAAGTAGGATGGGGTCCCTCTAATGAACCCTGAGATGATAGCCTTCCCTCTAAACTTCTCAGGGATTCTCATTCAGAGGAAGCTCACTCAGTGGAAATTATACTATAAAAGTATATTCCTTCATAAAAGGGTTTTTAAACACACATCAGCAACTAAAATAGCAAGTGAGATAAATCCTTCTAGGACAGCATTTACCAAATCAATATTTTACAGAGCACCGTTCTCAGAGAATGTTAATAGATTCCGTTTTAAATAAGTGTGGAGTGTGTGTATGTGTGTGTGCGCACATGCATTCTATGCTCTGATAATGTTTTGAAAATGCTTCTTAACTGAATTCTCCTCTTGGAGAATCATAATGTGTATAAAACCCAAGAGGTTAATCAAATTGTTCTCTTTCCTGTAACTGATGAGTATCTGAGATTTTTTTTCCTGATTCCCAGCCCACTGCACCCAACTACTGCTTCTCTAGCAGGTTTCCTCCTGTGAAAATAAAGCAGATTTAAGGAATAATCTTTTAATTTCGAGGACAATGTCTGTACTTAATACATTTCTTTTAATATTTTGTTATATGCCAAAAGTATCAACTTTCGGGACGGGATTTATCAGATTCTTTTAAACAATGTGTTATAAAACATTTGGTATATTCGAAAAGGTATAAAGAATAATATAGTGAAAATAAGGATAGCCACTGCCCAGTTTGAGAAGGAAACAGCCGCAGTAGAGTTGAAACCCTCCATCTATCCTCCTATGGTTAAAGCACCTTCTCTTCCTCTGACATAATCACCACCTTGATTCAGTGTTCATTATTCCCATGCATTTATTTATCTTTTTACTACATGTGCACAGGTATTTAAACAACACATACTAGTACAGCTTTATATGTTTTTTGTCTAGTTTTTTTTTCTGTTGCTGATCGCCTTACCTTAAATATTACTGTTTTATGTGCTCTAAAAGTTTATGCCAATAGTATATTACATATATTCTTCTGCAACTTGTTTTCTTCTGTTCAATTCTATATTTGTGAAATGCATCTATGTTGTAACATGTGGCACTAGTTCACTCATTTTTTTCACTATTGTATATCCATTTGATGACTATACCACACTTTATCCATTCTGCTGTTGATGGATATTTAGACTATTTTTTAGTTTTGAGCAATCACAGTTGAGCCTATTCTGGTCATTCTTGTGTAGATATTATTTGGTGACTACTTCTACTTGGTAGATATCTAGGGTAGAATTCTTCCCCATCCCTGATGGGCTGTGTGCATCATTACCTTTGGGAGATATTGTCAAATTGCTCTTCAAAATGGTTTGCTAACTTACACTCCCACCAGCAGTGTATAAAGGTTTCAGATTTATTGCATTAATTGGCCCTCAGAACAAAATTTCTCCCTCATGGGTATGTATCTCTGATTGTTTCAGTGGAAAATAAATTTTATTTCTCAAAATTGCTTGACAACTAACTTCTTAGGAACACATTCCCTTATTTCCATTTATAAATGAGGGGGTTGGCCTAGATGATCTCGTAGGTCCTGTGGAGCTTGGCAATCTAAGTTTCTGTGATTTATTCATTAAGTGAGGCACATCTGAAAAGGAACCTTGACTTTTGGCTACATTGCAGGTATTTTTTTAGGAGCATATAACAAAGTTTGGTATCAATAAAATGTATGTCTCCGGCTCGGCGCTTATAGCTCAAGTGGCTAAGGTGCCAGCCACATACACCAGAGTTGGCGGGTTCAAATCCAGCCTGGGCCTGCCAAACAACAATGACAATTACAACCAAAAAATAGCCGAGTGTTGGGATGGGTCCCTGTAGTCCCAGCTACTTGGGAGGCTGAGGCAAGAGAATCCCTTAAGCCTAGTTGCTGTGAGCTGTGACACATCATTCTACCCAGGGCAACAACTGGAGTCTCTGTGTCAGTGACGTTCACTATCCCACTTCTAACACCACTTGTCAGGGCCCAGGACTGGCCAGGTCTCAGGCCCGGCTTAGGTAGGTTCTGGACGGGGACCGCTAAGCTACCTTGCTCAGGAACAGTTTCTCTTAGGTGCTTGAGGGTTATCTACTTTAGCTGGAGAGAAAGAAAGAGAGAGTGTCTTAGAGAGAGTAAAGCAGTCTTCTTAGTATAGCTAGATCTTAGTCTTTAGCAGAGCTTGGTAATCTTCAGCAGAGAGATGCTGTGCTGGCGTTCTGCAGGCAGGAGAGGAGACAGAGTCAGATTAAGCATGTCCGTGATAGAATGTGCAAGCTTTTTGACTGCCTTCTCCTCCAGCCTAATATAAGGCTGAGCTCGTGCCTCTCAACACCACAGGTGTAGAGACTGCCAATTCACCAATGCTCTCACCTTGCAAGCTCTCTCATGCTTGTTAGGACTAAATCTCTCTCCATGCCCTTTTCACCAAGGTGTTCCATTACAGGTATTTCCTATAACTCTCACTCCTCCTAGCCTTAAGCTATATCGGCTGCTACAGCTCTGTTAAAAAAAAAAAAAAAAAAAAAAGAACTGTATGTCTCCGGCTTAGCACCTGTAGCTCAGTGGCTAGGGTGCCAGTTACATACACTGGAGCTGGCAGGTTTGAACCCAGCCTGGGCCTGCCAAACAATAATGACAACTACAACAACAAAATAGCCAGGTGTTGTTGTGGGTGCCTTTAGTCCCAGCTATTTGGGAAGCTGAGGCAAGAGAATCACTTAAGCCCAAGAATTTGAGGTTGCTGTGAGCTGTGATGCCACCACACTCTACCAAGGGCGACATAGTCAGACTCTGTCTCAGAAAAAAAAGTGTATGTCTCCTGTCTCTTACTGCCATGCTGTCGGCTGGAAAAGCAGTGCTGTGAGAGGGAGAGCATCATATGGTATTACCCTGAACTGGGGAGAAGAATCCATAGCTCATGGGAAAGGGGGTCCCTACCCCATTGCCCTCTGTTCTTTCTAGAACTTCTCTATCTTAGAAATCTTCCTTATTGCTTGATTTCCTCTCCTGAGGATATTAAATGCTGGTTGTACCAAAAGCAAAGAATATACAATAAAAAGGAGAAACCTCCTCATAGAACTCTTCAGAAGTAATATCAGCGAACCAAAAAAGCCCAAACTTTCTGCGCATATGCACATGTAAATTTTTAAAATGTTTTTACAAAATTGGAGTTCTAGTAGACATACTATTCTGACACTTGCTTTCTTTTTACCTAAGATATATGTATCTTTGACATCTGTTCAAATCAGTGCATATAGATCTACCCCTTTCGTTTTAACAGCTACATAATATCCCATTGTGTGAATGGCTTTCATAATAGATAATATTTGCATATTTACTAAATGTTAGAAACTAGAATTAATTCCTTGCAACAAGGCTATGAGGTAGATCTTTCTGTTATCTCTGTTTTACAGATGTGGGGACTGAATTGCAGTAAGGTTAAGGAGCTTGTCCAAATCTGTGTGGATAAGAGGCAAAGCCAGGATGCAAACCAGAGTGTCCTGGCTCAGAGCCTGTGCCCTTAACGATTGTCTGTGTTGCCTCTCTGATAAATCTACTCGCCAGTCCCCTTTAGTAGACGTTTAAGTCAATTGCAGATTTTTGCCATTGCAAACAATACTGCAGTTGATGTCCTTGTCCTCTTCTGCAAGTCTTTCTGTAGCATAAGTTCCTAGACTTCTCAGTTTTTAGGTGGAAAGAGCTTATTCATTTATTAAAAAAAAAAAAAATTATTGACCTCTCAGCACTAGGGAAACTCTGAGCTTAAATTAGGAGATTTGACCAGCATGTTTTTTCTCAGATGCCCTAGAAAGGTCACTTAAGTGCTTTGCAGGGTTTGCCAGCCTGGTGCTTCCCCAGACCCCAGACTCATTGAATCCTATTTGTTCTTAATTGCTTGTGTCTTTGCCCAGGTAGTGGCACAACTGATTTGATTCTGGAGCTCCCACTTGGTGTCCCAAAGTCAAAAATCTCTACTTGCTAGGGGTCAGTGATTACAATGCCTCAGAGCCTGGGTTGTAGAATTTACAGAGGCAGAATAGTATAATGGTAAAGAACGTGCATTGTGGGACACAACTACGTGGGTATAAACCCCAGCTCCTCACCATGTATTCACATTATGACTCTGACCAAGTTACTTACTGTTTCTGTGCCTCCATTTTCTTATCCACATGATGAAGATAACAATAGTAACTACTTTGTAGGATTGTCTTGAGGATTAAATGAATTAATTATGTAGACTGCTTAGTTAATATACACAGTATATAAAACATGCAATACAGTAAGTTTTAACTGTTATTATTTATGTGGCTATGGAAAAGCTGCCACATCAATCTTTCCATAAAACAGTTGAAGACCTCTGTGGTGTTTTGGAGCAGAGAGGGGAGGGAGGAAGGAGGTAGCTATTATTTATTTATTTTTTTGGTGGGGGACAGAGTCTTACTATATCACCTTCAGTAGAGTGCTGTGGCATCATAGCTCACAGCAACCTCAAACTCTTGGGGTTAAGCAATTCTCTTACCTCAGCCTCCCAAGTAGCTGGGACTACAGGCGCCCACCACAATGTCCAGCTATTTTTTGTTGTTGTTGTTGTTGTTGCAGTTGTCATTGTTGTTTAGCAGGCCCGGGGCCAAGCTTGAACACCTCCAGCCTCAGTGTATGTGGCCAGTGCCCTACTCACTGAGCTACAGGCACCAAGCCAGAGGCAGTTGTTATTAAATAGGTAAAATGTTCACATGGTTCACAGTTCGAAAAGTACAAAAGTATATTCAATAAAAACCTGTATCTCCTATTGGCAACATGGGGCTTTCGTAGTGTGAGTAATGGTTCTGTTCCTCAACCTGAGCTGCGATTATATTGGAATTTTCTTTGTTAGAATTTAATATACTTTACACATATGCTTTATGTGCTTTTTTTTTGTACATATATCTCTCGTTTTGAAAAAGAGGGAAACTTGTGGAAAATCCCAAAGGAATGAAGGGAATTTACTCTCCTTGGTCTAATAGCCACTCAGTTCCCTTCTCCAATGGTAACAGGTTGTTTTGTATACTTCCAAAAATATTTTATTGCATATATAAGGATGTATTTTAAATATATGAACACCTTGATTTTTTTTCTTGTTTTCTTTTCACTTAAAATATATCTTAAGAGATCATTCTATATTGGCACATAAAAAGTTCTTAAAAGCCCCACTTCTCAATACCGTCACATTAGGATTAAATTTCAACATGAATTTTGGAGGGGACACATATTCAAACCATAGCACCCACATAGGGTATGAATAATTTTATCCCTTAACTTTTGTTGTTGTTGTTATATATCTTTTTTTTTTTTTTTGAGACAGTCTCACTTTGTTGCCCTCAGTAGGGTGCTGTGATATCACAGCTCACAGCAACCTTGAACTCTTTGGGCTTAAGTGATTTCTCTTGTCTCAGCCTCCCAAGTAGCTGGGACTACAGGCACCTGCCACAACACCCAGCTATTTTTAGAGACGAGGTCTTGCTCTGGCTAAGGCTGGTCTCAAATCTGTGAACTCAGGCAATCTACTCACCTTGGCCTCCCAGAGTGCTAGGATTACAGGCATGAGCCACTATGCCATTGTTATATATCTTATTTCCTACTTTTGACCAGTGGGGACAAATTCAAATTCAATTCTTTATCTCCAGTCCTTCATAGCCTCTGCAAATTAAAAAGAGGAATAGGAAAAGAATTAGTATGTGCTTGGGGTGATTGGGGGCAGGATGGAGATAAAGAGGCAAGAGAATCTTTGAGAATAATAAATAGCACTGGCCCCAGTGGCCCAGGTTCACTTGTGCCTTAGCACCTTTTTTTTTTTTTTTAATTTCGATAGGTTTAGCGGTACAAGTAGTTTTGGTTATACAGATGAATTGTGTAATGGCGAAGCCTGGGATTTTAGTGTACCTATCACCCAAATAGTGTACATTATGCCTGATGAGTGATTTTTTTTTCAGTTCTCATCCCACTCCCACCCATTTGCCCCCTTTTTGAGTCTCCAATGTCCATTATACCACTCTGTATGGTATACCTGGATACCCTGCATACTCATAGCCTAGCTTTCAATTATAAGTGAAAACATGTGGTCACTCAGGTTTGGCCATTCCTGAGTTACTTAACCTAGGATTGATGACCTCCAGTTCTATCCAAGTTGCTACAAAAGACATAATTTTGTTATTTTTTTAATTCACACCCACCATATATTTTTTATACGCTCATCCATTGTTAGGTACTTAGATTGATTCCTTATCTTTGCAATTGCGAATTGACAGTACCTTCATCTGTTAAATGAGATCATAATTCTGGCTGGGACTGCCTTAACGGGTTGTGGTTAGGATCACAAAAGACAGCATAACAGACTATACAAGCATGCTATACAAATACAGGGAATGATAGTGTTTTGGAGCATGGCAACTCTTAAGCATTAGCATTAGCAAATGAAGGCCTAGAAAGGTGAAATTACTTGAGGTCCCAATCAGGGGACCAGCAGAGGATAGTCATGCTAAGACCAGAAGGAGCTTATTCCATTTCTTTTTGTGTTGGGATTAGAAGGGCTGAATTCTCTGACTTGCTAGGTTTACCTTATTTTGTTTTGTGAACCATTGACCTGACACCAGGTTAGTAGAGAAATAAGAAGGAAGGAATTTACTCTGGAGAGAAGTGAATCTCAAGAGAAGAAAAAAGAAAGTTCATGGAAGAAGAAATACAAATGGCCACTAAAAATGTGGGGGGAAGCTAAGTATCTCTACTAATTAAGGAAATGCAAAGCAATCCTCTAGATGTCATTTTCACTCACAAAGTTGGCAAATAAAATAAGAGTGCATACTTTTGGCAAGTGTGCTCAGAAACGGGCACCTCTCCTACCTTGCTGGTGATAGTATAAAGTGATATAACTTTTTCTAGAGAAATTTAGCATATGTGTCATATGCTTAAAATCAGTTCCATACCTTTTGATTCAGAAATTCCTCCCCTTATGGAATGAATTGCCAATATGCATAAGGATGTTCACTGCAGTTTGACTTATACAATAAAAGAACCATACACATATGTCCAATTGTTAAAATGAATTGTGGTATATCCATTCAGTGGAATACTATACAATAGTGATTATAGCTAACACTTATTGAGCCATGTACTTTTACCAGACACTATGCTAAGTTATTTAAATGCATTATTAATTATAATCATTAGAATAATTCTATGAGGATGGCATTATTATTATCCCCATTTTTCAGATGATGACACTGAGGCTCAGAGATGTTGACTTGTCCTAGGCCACACTGCTAATAGGTTGAATGGTATAAATTTCACTCTCGGTTTGTCTGACACCAGAGCCTGTAGCCTTAACCACAGTGCTGTACGGTTTCCAAGCACACTTGCTAAAAGTGTGTACTCTTATTTTATTTTACCAGGCAGCTGATAGAAATCATGTTTTAGAGCAATAGCTAATGAAATTCTAAAATAACTGTGACATAATGGCAAGTGCGAAAAGCAGGATACAAAATTACAGATAGCATATGATGACAATTTTATTTTAAAAGTACATATATTATTTTCATAGAAAAACTATAAAACTTCATACCTATTAGTAATGGTGATCTCTGGGTGGTGATATTATAGATTATTTTTATTTTCATCTTTATGATTTTTTGTATTTTTTAGTTTTTTCTATAAAGAACATGTATTACTTGTGTAATCAGCAAAAGCAAAAGTATTAACATAAGAAGAGGTCTTGGCTTGTGCCTGTGGCTCAAGCAGCTAAGGCGCCAGCCACATACACCTGAGCTGGTGGGTTCAAATCCAGCCTGGGACCCACCAAACAACGACGGCTGCAACTAAAAAACAGTTGGGCATTTTGGCAGGTGCCTGTACTCCCAGCTACTTGGGATGTAGAGGCAGGAGAATCGCTTGAGCCCAGGAGTTGGAGGTTACTGTGAGCTGTGATGCTACAGCACTCTACCCAGGGTGACAGCTTGAGGCTCTTTCTCAAAAAAAAAAAAAAAAAAAAAGAAGGGGTCTGAAAGCAAGCCTTTGGTAGCCTTTATGCTTATAACATGTCTATAGCAACGACTTCATTTTGTATCTAATTCTTTTATGGTATCTGATCACAGAGGAGCCATCTTTTCAACCATTGGGGAATCTTTGGGGATGAGGAGCTATAAAACTGTGAAATCTCTAGGGACTTTTACTGCAGTGAAATATCTTTCAGACCACAAATTCTTGCACCCTTATGATCTGTAATAGTCCCCAATTTTTGGACCATGCACCTTTGAGGATGAGAGAAGGGTACTTAATGCAAGGAGTCCACAGATCTTTAAATGTATAAATGTTTTTCTCACTCTGTAAGTTCTAAAAGTATAACTACTATTGTGGGTGTGAGTGGGTGAAGTGAGGTTTTCTTTCTTTTTTTTTTTTTTAATCTTAAGAAAGGGCCCTCATGCTGAAAATGTTGGGAACCACTGGAATAGAGTCTTAAAATGGTAGCTATTTAATCATCAGCATCAGGAATAAAAGATGCTCAGTTCCTGCCCTTTGGATCAGGATTTGTGTGTATTTGCCCAGCACTAAATGAGATCACCTTTATCATTCTCATCACATTTGTGTGCATTCATTGTTAATTGGTTTGTACATCTAAAATGTGTGCTTGTATCTCTCCTTTCTAAGCTTAGCTCCTGACATCTAAAGCCAAATATATCTCAAGCATAGCTTATTATGTAACACTGCCCTCACCCCCTACCACACGAAATTGCTCTCCTGTCTTCCCTCTCTTGCTGTTGGCAACATTATCTACCCAGCTCCCAAATTAGAAACTTTTGACTCTTCTACTTCCCTCTCCCTTCACATCCAATTGATCACCAAGCCCAATATATTTTACCTCTCCAGTATACCTCAAAACTATACTGTCTGCGCCAGCCTCACTCTAGCTGCCTGCCTATTATAACAGATTCTCAATGGGTTCTTCCCCTAAGAGACTCACTCCAATAAGGCAGGTTGAGGGCTCTTTCTGAAATGCAAATCTGGTCATGTTACTCCCTTGCTTAAAACCTTCTGTGCCTCCCCCACTATCTGCCAGATAAAGCCTGAAATCCTCTGCTTGTCATTCAAGGCATGGCCCAGTCTGGCCACAGCCTCATTTTCCAGCCTCATCTCCTGCTACTCCCAACAAGGCACCTACCTGGTACTCTGGTCACGCCTAACACACCATACATTTTATTTTGTGATGTTTGGAATGTACTTTTCTGTTTTATCTTCTCTGCCAAATAACAATCCTTTCTCTTTTCTGAGTCACCTCAAGCACATTTCCTTGGGGGGAGACTTTTCTGGACATGACCAGACAGAACTCACCTTTCCCTCATCTGTCTCTTCACTCTAGACTGTAAATACTTCTATTATTAATGTAAATAATACTTTATGGCCTTTATTTTCTCCATGTTTGTTCTTTCTGTGTGTGACCTCCTCAGGGGCAGGCCCCATGCCGTTTTCATTTTGGTGCCTTTTAAACTCTAGCCATACTGAGTACACTGTTCTCTGAACATGTTATGCCTTTTTGTGGCATCCACCGTTGCACAGGTAGGTCAGACTTCCAAGACTGCCATTCATCCTTTAAGAATCATCTCAAATGTGGTCTCTCTGAAGTCTGTGCCCATTCTCAGGTAGAGTTAGCTGTTTCCCTACTCTGTGCTCCCTTAACCTTGTGGCCAAATCTTAATTATAGCATTTGCCACATAAGCATTTTAAATCTCAGCTCATATGACTGCCTCCCCTATCCATCTATCACTCCCACCCCCAGGCTATAAAATCTCAGATAGCAATTCATCTTGGGTCTTTAGCAGAAAGCACTATAGGTAAACAATAAATACTTACCAATACTTAAATAAGGGCCCTTTGAGGTACATGATGGCCTGGGTAGGTCAACAGATTTTGAATACTTATTTACATAATCGATCCAGGCACCTCTGGGTAGATGCTAGATTCGTGGGCCTTTTCTAGATCTTGATTCTAAATCTCTTCTTGATACTCTTCCAGGTGCTTAATGCTCAACAGTCAGTGCACTGCCCATCCTCACCCCCCATGAGCCTTGGTTCTGATGCAACCTATGGTCATGCAGGGATGCCCTTATACCCTCCCACGATGTCATGAGTGGCGGGCAGCTGACCAGTTCCATCACAGCAGCAGCCTCCGAGGCACCTGCCCCCAGGCTCAGGTAAGATTATGATAGTAAAGGAAAGACGAGGGATCTGTGTGTCCTTTGGGTGCCAATGCTTCCTAAAGCTCAGGGGCACTCTCCATATACATGAAACTCCTTGGAGAGTACAGGGCATCCTTCAGGCCCATCACTTACCACCCATGAGGCCTTTTATGGGGAGCACAGGGCAAGGAAGGGTGTTAGGCTAGGCAAGCCAAAGGACCCACTGTGGCAGAGGAAAGCTGGTTCCATGTTAACTTTCTAAGGGTTACAGGTCTAAAGAGGTCCCAGACCAGTGTGATCTTTCAGGGCATGGTCTAGGTAGGACAAGGCAGGACCTTCCCTTGCTGTGGCTTCTCCTTGGAGTACCTCACACATTCTGCATGGATCTCTTTCCTGTTGTCGGCTCTTCCTCTAAAGTTCCCAGTCTTCCTCACAGCTCCTAGCTTGGCCTCACTTAGAATTCCCTGAGCTTCCTACCTGCCTTTCAGCTCTCTCTTCTCTCTGAGGCATTCCACGGTGGTGGTGTGTGTGTTTGCCTGCGTATGTCAGTAGGTGGGTAGAGGATGTGTGAGAGTCAGTAATCTAGAGAGGATGTCCCTCTTTCCTGACAATGAGGGAGGTCAGGGAAAGTTGACTAGAGAAGGGAGACACATAAGCATACTTTGGATTGTACTACAATGCTTTGGGGTCCAGAGGCTTTGGGTGTGTGAGAAGTGCTATGTCTCTTGAAGTCTCACAGATAGGCTGCAGTGCTGAGTCACTTCTAGAGGAGCATGCAGCAGCTGAGCATACAGGGTGAAGAGAGGGAGGGAGAAAGGCAGTGGGGACAGAGAATGTGGATGCTGCGAAGGTCTTTTGGGGGAGAAGAATGAGGGAAAGTTAAGGTCTAGAGAGGCAAGAGTGTCAGGTCCTCTTGAGTTATTTTCCCACATCTAACCAGAGAGAATTGCTGCCTCTAACATAAGCCAGGATCAACTGAGAGTCCCCAAGTAATGTACTCCTTCCCTAGAGTGGGACTTTCACTGGGTCAATGGACTGAAAAGCCTGAGTCCTTCCAAAAGGCTTGCCCTGCTCATTGTCCACCCCCTCCAAGCTTCACCACCTAGGCAGGGGGACCTGAGGGCTTCATTTTATGACTGTGAAATGGTATGACCCAAATCCTCTCCTCTGCCATGGACCAGTTTCTCTTCTTTCCTCTGGCCTTTGTCTCAATGGCTCAAGGGATGGGTAGAGAGGTCCTTATTGAGAGCTGTGTGAGAAGAAAGTATCTTGGCCACAGAAGTGAGAAGTAGAGGGCAATTGATAGAGAGAGGGAAAAAAAATGATTACTATTCATTTTTTGTTTGTTTCTTTGAGACAAGGTGTTGCTTTGTTGCCTGGACTAGAACACAGTGGCGTCATCATAGCTCACTAATACCTGAGTTTGAGCAATCTTCCTGTCTCATCCTCCTGAGTAGCTGGGACTACAGGCAGGCACTAACAACCCAGCTAATTTTTTTCTTTTTTTTCTGTAGAGACAGGGTCCCATCTTCTTCACACTGGTCTTGAACTCCTGAGCTCAAGCGATCCTCCTAGCTTGCTCTCCCAAAGTGCTAGGATTATAAGCATGAGCCACGACACCCAGACAATTACTATTTGTTATTTACCTATTGTGTGCCTGGCTCTGCTAGGTGGGACTTGAGAGTATGCAAGGGAACTAGTAGAGGGAGAACAGGGCAATGGGGAATAGGACAGGAGCCAAGCGAGGGTTTAGGAAACTAAGAAGGCTGGAGAGAATGAAAGGATTATGTGGGTAGAGCTCAGCTCATTGTGGGTGCCTTCCCCCAGAGCCAGGACAGCTTGTCTGTGGCTGGGTCAATAAGGGACCATTTCTAACTCTGGGGCATTCTCAGTCTAGTGGACTCTGAGACTGGCTTAAGCCCAATTATCTTAGCACAAGGGAAACTGTAGCCCCAAGCTATAGGCACTCCCTGCTGGTAGGAGCCTGCCATCCCCTACCATCTCCCAGCCAGCCCAGTTAGCTCCACCCCAGACCCCCAGAAAGGGTCAGGCAGCTGTTCCAACTATTCCTGTAGGTGGGCCTCAGCATGGAAACAATGTAGAACTGTGGAGAGCCCAGAAGACTCTGTGGGAGATAAATGAGGATGGGAACAGAACTCTTTTTGGTCAAAATGAAGTGTTTTCCCTCCGTGCTGAGGGGTGGGGGCCCAGCTTGGGAATGTTAACCTTTCTATGGGAAAGTCTGCTACAGAAGGAAAGTGGCTGCTTCCAGGAGGCGGCTCTTCCCTGTGGGCCAGTGGCTTATAAGAAAGGGCTTCCCCCACCCCCTGCCCAGCGTAACACTGGTGGGGCAGGGGAGCCCCCCTGGCACTGGTTCCCTGTGTGGAGCTACTGCTTCCATAGTTCCCTCTCTCTTTCCTGGAGAGGTCCAAGGGGATGCCTGTAGACCAGCGGTTCTCAACGTGTGGGTGGCAACCCACAGGAACTGTATTAAAGAGCCACAGCATTAGGAAGGTTGAGAACCATTGCTGTAGACCATCCATTTCTGTCTGGCCTCAGGTACAGCAAGCGGTCTGAGGGCTATGGCTCTGCCTCCACTCCTCTCTCTGCCTCTTAAGGCAGGGCAGAGCACGCCCTTATTTCACAGTGGGCTCCAGTGAATTTCCTAGGTCCTTCACCCATCCAACGATAATCAAATTCAGAGGGATTCTGCTGTCCTGGCTTCCTGATGCCGCCGTCCTATGGCTCTCTCCCGACACGTGTCACACAAATTCCTCACGACCTCTGAGTAGGCTTACTTAGTGGGGGACAGGGTTTATTTCCCAAGCTCATTCTCCTGCCAGACCTTGGGAAAATTGCTTACCAGAGGTTTGTCACCAAAGTGGTCTGATCCTTTTTTCCACCTCAGGGAAAGGGTGGGCTCAGAGGCAGAGTGAGCTCTTTGTGTCTTCAATGGAAAGGGAAAATAAATCAAAAGAAGCTACTCTCTGCCTGCCCCTCCTCAGCACCATGGAATGCCCAGTCCCACTCCTGCCAGCCTTTCCAGCCTGGGAGGGCCATCCCGGCCCCGGTGTGGCGGGCCCAGTTGGGAGTGAGCCGGAATTCCCCACGGACAAAGCGCTGATTCACCGGCTGGGCCCTGACGTAGCCGCCCCCTCCAGATTCCTGGGGGGTCAGTAAACAAACAGGGTGACAGCTCCCGCCTCCTGGCCTGGCTCAGCTCCACCTGCCTCCTAAGTGGACTTGCTTAGCGCTTGTTGGGACTCTGCCTGCCTGTGGCTCACCAAGCACTCACTGGGTCTGGATTCCTGCTGAGGGATAATCATGGAGCTGCCAGATCCTGCCACAGACCCCCCAGGCAGCACAGGTAGGGTCAGTGCATGGGGTGCAGGGTGGCTGAGTTTTGAACTGCATTCCCTCAATTCCTTTTCACCCTCCTGTGAGCTCTGGTTTTGATGGGACGATGAATTTCCTAAATTGCTTGGAGAGTCTTATGTGGGGAGGAAATATGTTTTTGGGGGGGATGCCTCAAGAGTCTCAGCCACTAACTAGCAAGTTTGTTTTCTTTTCGAAGGAAGACAGGTGGGTAGACAGGTCGGCTACTGTGTGAGTCTCCCTAGGCTGGCGTGGAGCAGCCTGGACTGAGATTTCTTCCTCTAGTTTCCCATCCCTCTACCTGCTCCTGCCCCCTTCCTGGGCAGTTCTGGCTCTGTGCTATAGGTAGCTACCTTCCTTAGAGCTATTCACATAACTTCCATTCCTCTAAACCCACAGTTCCCCCATAAGACCTTACCAGTGCTCAAGAAACCAAACAATGGACTTTGAACCTGAAGGTCTAAGGCTAGACTTTGGCAGGCTCCATGGCTTGACCTGTTGACTGCCAGCTCTGTTTAGTGTCCTTTGCACATCTTCATGAGCAATACTCTTTAGGACTATGTCCAGGCTTCCTGACTGGTGGGAAGTGCAGGTAGGAAAGGCAGGCAGGAGACATAAAGGCTGAAATCCATTTGGGAAGTAGGACACCTACTACTAATAGTTCTTGCTGGCTGGTCCACTTCCTCTCTGAATCTTTATGAGGCAGCTCCTCAGCTTTCTTTTTTTAGGAAGTTGCGCAAACTGTGGGACCCTAAAGTACAAGCCTATAGTTTACCTGGAATGCTATAGATGCCCACCACTTGGGCAGTTCTGAGCAGCTTCTTGCCTAACATGAGTACTTCCAGGTCCCCATCTGGGCAGTGGTCCTGGCAGAATTCATGATAATAAAAGTAATAATAGTAGACAGCAGTCTATGCCATTGGCCTGTATCAGAAGAACTGACAATGCATGGAGCCTTTCTTCGTTTCACCCCCTGAAGGAACACACACACACACACTCGGACTTCTGAACCCTGGAACCAGCCTTTCTCTCCCCTTGTTCACACTTGTTTCACTATTAGCTTGGTGCTGACCAGGGCATGGCTCACTCTGGGAATCACGGGATGTCTGTTTCTGTCCAGGTTAGAGCTGCCATCACCACCCCTACGCCTCCTCAGGATGGTGCTGGGGTTCCCTGCCTAAGCCTAAAGCTGTTGAACAGGTCTGTTGGTGCCACTGGACCCTTAGAGCCACCAGCCATGAATCTGTGTTGGAATGAAATCAAAAAGAAGTCTCACAACCTCCGGTAAGGCCTGGCCCCTAGAAACAGGTGCCTTAGCGAATCAGCCTGGATGCCGTGGTGGGCTCCTTTTGCCACAGCAGCTTGTTATTCTCTTCTCCGTCTATGTGTCCCCCTTCCTTCAGCCCCACCGCCTACTTCTCCCTTTCCTACTCTGGCACTGTGGAACTGTGTTAGAAGTCAGGATATTTGTATTTGATCCTCAGTTTTAAGCAGTTGCATCACCTTCGATAAGTTGAGGTCTCAGAATTGTAGCTTCCATTTTAATAAAAAATGAGTGGAGGAGTAATTCTTATCACTGTGTAGTCCCAAGGATTCGATTAAGATGTGGAAATGCTTTCAAAACTTAAAAGTGCAAATGAGGGAAAGAATTACTCCCTCCTTCTCTTCCTCTCATAGCTGTCTTCCATCTTGGTAGGTCTCATCCATTTGCTTTCCCATCCTTTCATGCCCTCCACTCCCATCCATGAGTTATCAGCCCACCCATTCCTCTCTAGACTAAGGGCAACTCAGTAAGAGCTTGAAGGCAATTTCTATCTCAGTTTTTTCCCTTTGCTCTACCCCCCTGTGTATGTCTGCCACTTTTCCTCCCCACCCCATATCCTCAAAGCCTAAACTCCTGGTGGGTTCTTGTGGGGGTTGAGGCCATGTGGAGAAGTTGAAAGAATGTAGGCTTTGGAGTCAGATAAACGGAGGCAAAAATCATAACTCTATCAGTAACTTGACTATGTGACCTTTGGAAAACGACTTAACCTCCCTGGGGAATAGGGAGGGAATACCTACCCCTTAAGGTTGTTATTAGAATTAGCTGAACCAATAATTTAGGTAAAGCGCTTGGCCCAGGTGGTGGAGAGGCAATGAGTAAAGACAGTTATTATTTTCAGCTAAGGGAATGGGCTCAATGGCTGCACACAGCATTGGCCAGCCTCCATCTTCCTATCCATTGGACATCAGTTAATAGTTCATTTGGAGGGCGGGAGGAGGCAGAGATGATTATATAGTAGAGACCTTTCTGCTTTTCTATCTCAAACCTCTAGCCAATGTTTCAGTCATCCTTTCAGTCCCCTTAGCTGTTTATATTTGTACGCAACCTGCACATGTTTGTGCCCACACTCAGCCACCCAACCTACTCTTTCTGATTATCACATCCTCTACTGCTCACAGGAGAGGCTCAGAGGAGCCTCTGTGATGAGTAGTTTGGCGTGACTTGAATTCTGCCAGGGCAAGAGGGGAACCAGATGGTTGTCACCCTTAACGTCCTTGATCAGTTTCTGACCTTCCCTGGTTTGCTGTTTGGCATGCAACGGAAGTAACTGAGGTCCACAAGTGGCATTTTAAGCCATTTAAGTTTGGAATGCCTCCCTACCCAGGGTTCTGCCCATTGGTTTTACTACTGTACTCCGTGTGGAGGTACTTGGGGAGCCTCTGTGGGTGGGCAAGACGGAGGGCTCCAGGCCTTCTCCCACTTCAGAAAGAGAAATTCCTTTTGAATCCATTTTCTACATTAAAGTTTCACATAAGTGTTTGTTTTGGGGGAAAAATGTTTTGCCATTCATCTTAAAAAGAAGATTGAACGTCACTGATCTTCCCATTGTGTGCAGTGCTCGCTTAGAGGCCTTCTCCGACCACAGTGGAAAGGTTCAGCTGCCACTTCAAGAGATTATTGACTGGCTCAGCCAAAAAGATGAGGAGTTGTCAGCTCAGCTGCCCCTACAGGGGGATGTGGCCCTGGTGCAACAGGAGAAGGAGACACATGCGGTAGGTTAGAATCCTGGATACTGTGGTGCGTAGCCTCTCAGCTGGGAAGGAATCCCTTCTGCGATACCCTCACAGACAGGCACCCCTCTCTGCATAGACACATTAAGTAATAGGAAGCTGTATGCAGTCCTACCGGTCTGTGAATAGCATGCCATGGACTAAATCTTTCCTTCTACCCCTCCCATCAAGTTCTGGCCTCCCTTAAGATCCTTTTCTGTTTTTTAATGAGGGACACAGGGAAATGAATGCTAAACAACAACAACAACAAAAGCAGGATACAAAACTGTATGCAGGTAGATCTCAGTTGTATAAAAATAGGGTGGCACCTGTGGCTCAGTGGGTAGGGCACTGGCCCCATATACTGAGAGCGGCAGGTTCAAACCTGGCCCCAGCCAAACTGCAACAAAAAAATAGCCAGGTGTTGTGGCGGGTGCCTATAGTCCCAGCTACTTGGGAGGCTGAGGCAAGAGAATTGCATAAGCCCAAGAGTTTGAGGTTGCTGTGAG